CTTGCCTGGCCACGTCAAGCATTTGACTTCCTAGCCACGGACATCTAGGCAAATGTCTAAACAGTCTCAGTTTGTGATTGATACACTATGTAACTTTTTCATTTCACCGCCAAAGTGCGGAGCAGTAACTTTACATGAGTTGTCATTAGAGTCTAAACGTCAGCACTGTGGAACACAGCATTTTAGCTGCGCATAGTTGGACAGCCTCGAATTTTACATTCTGTTACACAGTGTCGCATTTGCACTTTACTGGAAGGGACCTTCATGCACTGGCTGCTCATTACGATTTCACATCTCCTTCTATTATCTTGTAGTTTTTTATGGGGATCTTCTATTTTTCTATGATTACTCCTTGAGTCCTCCACTTTTTCATGTACTTGGCTTAAGCTTTTTACTGTTTTAAAGTTTTTTATGGTAGAACCTACACGGCAACATGAGCTTGCCCCCACTCTTGCCGCGGTTCAGCTACGAGTGATTTTGTCGCCACAGAACTGTCTGTTAAAACAAGGCGTACACTTTGCGATTACAAATTTAAGTTTGGACTATGACCAATGATTTTCATCAAGCTTGGTTATTTGTAAGAGTTTTATAAAAAAATATCTTCATATTTACTATAGCACATTTTATGCTATAAATAAAATAATTATACATAAAAAATAAAATTCATTACTCTTATAGTAATACACAATTATAAATATACAAGAAAGTAAATAAAAAAATAATACATACGTTTGTTCGAGGATCTCTGGACTCATGTAACGTTTTGTACCTTGTTTCAAATCAATTCTATCTGTAGACAAGCGATCTTGTGTTACCGCCAATGCAAAGTCAGCAATGACACAACCACCATTAGTTTTAACGAGAATATTTTTAGACTTTAGATTACGATGTGCCATAGCTGGTTTCCCTCTGGTTCCATGAATTTCCGTGTGTAGATAAAGCAAACCGTTGACGATACTCAAACATATATTGAGCATTTGTTGATGCATCAAGGAATGTGGAGATCGATTTAGATAATCGTAAAGCGAACCCATTGGATGATAATGCATTACCAGCCAAAGTTGAGTGCAGCTCGCTCTACTCGTCATATCACTTCCAACGTAGCCAAGAATATTGTCATGTCTCGATGGCAACAACTGAGAATAGACTTCCGTTTCACGAGCCCAAGCTGCTTCATCTCGGGAAAAATATATTTTTACAGCAACATTTTCTCCATGCCATATTCCTCTCCAGACTTCTCCGCCAAATCCGCCATTGCTTCCACTACCAAGGCATTCTACTAAAGCTACTTGTTTAGCCAATGTTCTTTGTACTAATAATGGTAAACCAGAACCAGAACCACTGGTTAAACTCCTTCCATCCAAGTATTCCTATTTTAATACAACATATACACAGTGTATAAATTTACATTATTCAATATTTTCAACATTAATTCTCAATGCAAAATAAATAGTACAAAAAAGAAGAATACAAATTTTCGTTTTGCTTAAGATAAATATCATATTCGTCAAAGACATGTCGCCCTTCATATTGCTGAGACTGTCATGCCTTGTGACGAGGCGCCGCACAGTTGTTCATTTCACGAAAACCTGGCCAAAATTCAATTTTTGAAGTACGCGGAATCAGTAAACTGCCATACTGTGTTTATTATATATGTAACACTGCAACAACAACTATTTATATTCTCTAAATATAATGATTATTTTCTAAGATATAGCACTTCAAAGTTGACGATTTCTCTCGTTTCCTTAATTTTTACATTTTGCTGCGTATCTGTGGTAATAAAATCTACAACTGTAATCTTATTTAAGAATGTATTCCTTATGGCTCATTTTCTGTATTAAATATACGTTATTTAGAATAATTTTCCACTATACGGATAAAGAATAAGTTTGATTTTAACTATGTACTTTTTATTTTAAGATTATGTGATATTCAGTCATTTTGTAAATAAAAAAAAAACAAAATACATGTTGAATTGAGTAACTTCCTCCTTTTCAAAGTCGGATAAAAATAGGAAAACAAAATGGTTGTTAACAAGACTTCACTTAAGTACACGCTTCATGAGTTAGGTAAGCATGTCTATTTTCATATGCTATTGAAACATCTTGTTCATATTTGTCCCACTCTTAATATTCTTACTTTATAGTTACAGATGTAGATTTTATTGTTGTTAGCTTTAACCATTCGTGAAGTCAGTGCCCTTGCTATGACTATCGAGAAAGAGATCAGGTGAACAAAATAAGTTTGGTACTTTGGTAATAGTTTTATTGCACAAGGGAATAAGGTATCCAAGCGTACGTTGTCGACCATAGACAAGACTCGACTATAACAACAGAAAAAACGCGTCACATCGAGAGGGGTATATGGACCCTCTCGAAGTTTCGACTGTGCACGGATACAGCTGTTCGGGACAAAGCTGTTCTGGGTAAAGCTGCTTCAACAATTATATTGTTACTGTAACTGTAAAGTAGGAATATGAAGAGTGGTGGAAATATGAACAAGATGTTTCACTAGCATATGAAAATAGACATGCTTACCTAACTTATGAAGCGTGTACTTAAGTGAAATCTTGTGAATAACCATTTTGTTTTCCTATTTTAATTTATAAAATGACTGAATATCACATAATCTTAAAATAAAAAGTACATAGGTAAAATCAAACTTATTCTTTAACCCAATAAGGAAAATTATTCTAAATAACATATATGTAGGAGTCTAAACGAAAAATAAGGCACGGGGATTCGCACCCACGATCCTCGGATCCACAGTCGACCGCTTTACCTACGTGACCAATCCCGTACCCTACGTTTCGTGTTATTTGACTCCTTATTGTTGGGTATGGGAGGCGCGGATACTACATATATTTATTACAGAAAATGAGCCATAAGAAATATATATTTAAATAACATAATAGCTGTAGATTTAATTACCACAGATACGCAACAAAATGTGAAAATTGAGGAAACAAGAAAAATCGTCAACTTTGAAGTGCTATATCTTAGAAAATAATCATTATATTTAAAGAGCACAAATAGTTTTTGTTGCAGTGTTACATATATAATAAAAACATTATGATAGTTTCATAAATACCAAGTTTCATGGATATCTAATAACTTTTTAATATACATGTCGGCCATATTGGATCCGCCATTTTCAATTTTGCAATTCTGATATTAGATTCGTAATTTGCGGGTCAAATAACTCAAAAATATCTATTTTCATGAAGATCTGAAAACACTTCCTAATTTTGGCCGCATTTTTAACCATCTGGACCATTATGGCGCTGGCCCGCTTTCTCACATTCTCTTTCCTACCTTATTATCCGTGGTAAGGGTATGGTCAGTTAGAAGAGTTCACAGTGCCTTTAAACCAATTTTGATTTGCGATAATATATTCGATAAGTTATCAAAAAAGACCAATTTGTACAAAGTTACAAGTTTTTATGTCGACTGATGGGATAGTAAACAGAAAAAAATGAAAACCACGTTTTTACCAAATTTCTCTCGTCAAAAGTCATTGTAAAAAAAAAAGCTCAAAACCATGATGAGGAATACCAATTTTTCATCAAAGGAAACGTGGAGCTACAATTGTTCCAGACAAATCTAACATTTTCGGTTGTTATGTTTTGTTCAGTTATCAGTGTTATATATGCTACGTTTATTAATCATTTGATATAAGGTTATTGTGGCGAGCGTAGATATACATTTATTTGAGAGAAGAACTTTCAGCTTGCGCAAGTGCGTCAGAAACGTAGGTTTTCGGCGGTCTTGTAAGCCATACGGATGAGGACATCGGTCCTTATAAAGGAACATATCCAACTGTCACACTCCGATTTTGATCAAATTTATGTGGTAGGTAGTTCTCAAAAAAATATTTCACACGTATTTTTTTTTTATCGGCAGTTGTCCATGTTGAAGGGGTGAAAACAGCCCCTAAAGTTGGGGGTGAAAACCACGTTTTTGTTTAAATATCTAGAGAACTATAGGAGCTAGGACAAATATCTTTTTTTTCAATATGCGCTTTGGAATGGGTGATTTATGTATACCAGAAGAAATTGTTTATTTATTTAAACAATTTATTTTTGGAAAAATGTTTTTTTTGTTACTTTCTGTTACTAAATACTGTTTCTCATTCATAAAAATTTATATGTGCAAACTACAGGTTATAATTAAGAATACATGTTTTTGGAAATTTTGATTTTCACCATATAACAATAATTATATTAAATGGAGAATTCCTACTTCCGCGCAAAACTGTGGCATTTTTATCATTTTTTTTTCTCATAAAGTATGCAAGATTTTAATTTGAAATTTTACCCACGTCTCTAGTATTATTTTAGTGTGATGTATACATTTTTATGGAAAGATTTGTCAAAAAATATTAATGTTACAGTTCGTTGATCGCGAGGCTGCAATGAACACATTGGCCGCTGGTTGACTTGATTTCTACCGTTCAAATGAACTGAAGTAAATAAATCAATTAGCGTTTTATTCAATATGAATGTCGTTATCCTCTTGCGAAAAACAAAATCGAAAGTTAATTTTCGAGGTATTAATTGTATGTGTTCGTGCGTACCATGTGTACCCGTGACTTCACCATCTTTCTCAAGTGAACGGCGTGGTCAAGCGGTTAAGGCGACGGCTTACAGTTACGCTGTCCCGTGTTCGTTTCCTGAAAGTTGTTTTTTTTTTTGTTAGTTTAAATATTTTCATGCTTTAATTATTTTATTATTTGCCGTGGAAAAATAAAAAACATTTAAAAACGTATCAATTTAATTTTTGGAATGCCCCAAACAGGAATGTTCCTCGTTTAAAATATGTGGTAGCTCTGAAAAGAGCTGATTTTGTCATGATGTTTTTAAGTTGTTAATAAAATAATTTTCTGAAAATAACTTACTAATTAAAAATATATTATTCTAGATATTTGCTGCTTTTCAGAGCTACCATATATTTCAAACGAGAAACATTCCTGTTTAGAGCATTTTAAAAATTAAATTAATATGATTTTAAATGTTTTTTATTTTTCCATGGCAAATAATAAAATAATTAAAGCATGAAAATATTTAAACTAACAAAAAAAGAACAACTTTCAGGAAACGAACACGGGACAGCGTAACCGTAGGCCGTCGCCTTAACCGCTTGACCACGCCGTTCACTTGAGAAAGATGGTGAAGCCACGGGTACACATGCTACGCAACGAACACATACAATTAATACCTCGAAAATTAACTTTTGATTTTGTTTTTCGCAAGAGGATAACGACATTCATTGTTACGTATGCACACCCGTTCTTTTCGAAGCTCGCGTTCATTTATTTTATCTACCCTTTGGAATGTGGAGACTGGTCTTTCCGGAATGCACCCTGCAGCTGTACCATACTTTTCTCAGAATCATCTTTTAACTCGCGTTGCGTGGGTAACCCTTTATCTAAACTTTCCCTAAAGCCCTATAGATGTTCACTTCTGAGTAACGGAAATCTCAATCGCCAAATTTCCATATATGGGAATCACTGACGTATCCCCACCAATATCTATGGGTATATAAAACCATGATTTTCGTTACTCGGGGAATTAGTACGAAAGAGTTACTTGGTAAAGTCACGTCAATCGTCTTCAGAGTTGCGCTTCAGTGAGATCGGGCTTCAGATCCCTTTCGATCAACATTAACCATATAGATCCGCGAGGACGGTACAAAATCTATTACGGCATAGAAGCATTCTCGACCCCCGCATCGTCAGTACGTTAACACCGTGCAACAATTAGGTAATTAAATTCATATACTAACCGCGACAACACGACACTGTACAATTGTATTATTAGAATTATTCAGTTTTGAATATATAATCATTTGTTAACCTTAAAAGGTCTGTTAAATCGTTATTAAACCTTCACCATTCGAATAAGCAATCCTAACCAGTGTAACGACCCCACAACATAATAACTTTACCGTTTGAGTTATTATTTGTTTAGAATTAATAGTTGCGAGGCTTTATTCACGACGCGTATTATATTCCAAGATTACGATTCAATCCTTACTTAACCTTCCCAACGGTTACCTTTAATTGGGAGATACCAATCTTTCCTTTCTTATTCTTTACCTAACCTTCCCAACGGTTACCCTTTACCGGGAGATACAAATTCCTAGCAGTTATCTGACTTCGCGTCAGAGTCGTCTGCGATTTCTAATCCATCCTCAATCCTTGGATCCATTGAAATAAACAGGACTAATCGTATCTTCTTCGATTCTTGAATTCAACTCACTTGCAGGGCTCACACGCGTGTCGCTATCGCCCTTGCTCGTAACATCATATTGAATAAAACGCTAATTGATTGATGTGTAGAAGCGCTCCATTACGAAGGGGGTTGAAA